CTGTACCACTTCTAAAAGGGACAATTTTCTTTTCCCATCTACACCTGCTCATTCCTGCTACCTCCTTTGCGTCAACAAGAGACTTATGCAAGTGAAGTAACATGAGGAAACTGAGCTGGCTTAAAAAAAAGTTGGCTGGGAAGTGAGGAGATATGTTCCTGTTGATACTTTTCAACTCTCAGCAGGAATATTCATGCTTACATAAGAAGTGGAAAGATGTAATCAAAAAGAAGCGTGAAGGATAAAGTCACCCCTTTTCACTGCAGCATGAACTTCAACTGGCTGCAGCTGAAACGAACTTCTTTTTTCTAAAGATCATTTCTTATACAACATTATTGTTCATTTAAAATCTGCAATTTAAGGACATTTTCCTTGCGTGAGTCATTCTGCAGACAGCAGAATTCAGAGTTTTAGACAGAAATAAGAATTTTGCCTGAAATAATAGAATTTGATACCCTTTTAACATTTCAGTTGCAAAGGTTCTTGTACTTGGAAATTGTTTTGTCCTTGAAGAATGCAGAGTCTTTTATAGGAGCTGTAGAAATTAAGGAGAACATGCAGGAGGTAATTTAGAAGTGCAATAAGAACATCTGGAGACAAGGTTTAATAATCAAACAGATCAATTTGCTCTTACTCTCTCCATAACATCTAGATATCTAGGACAGATAACTGAAGCGTAGGTACTCAAAGGTGCTCACCTATCCTGTGCAGTCTGCTTCGTTACATATGCCAACTGGGACTCACAAGTTATCAAATAAACGATAACCACCTGAAGACACAATCTACTTTTTTTTAAAGACAGCATTTTAGAAGACTGGATATTTCCAGTCATTCAGGTACTCAAAAAACTTAAGAGGAAGAGCAGTTTCATGCACAATTTTTTCTCTAATGCTCTTCCACACACCAGTGTACAAACCAGAGCTAGCGAAAGGAGTAACTTCTTGCTCCAACCTGAAGGAAACTTGTTTTCTTCTAAGAAGTCATTCTGTGAGTAGCAAAACTAATGAAACCTGTAGTGCTGCATCTCAAGATTGATTGACTTTGACATCTAAATACATAGAAGCTGTGACTGCAGCTTTTCCTGCAGTTGGGCCATTCATAATGTTTGTCTCCCTGAATTCCCTGGAGTCTTACAACACAAGTGATACGGGCAACCTTTCCTTCTCCCTTCTGCCCAAACTCATATCATCATGAAAACTGTAATTGAACAACAAATTCAAAGGTATAGGATAGGGGAAGAAAGAGTGGCAGATGTAGCATTAGAAACTTCATTACCTTAATAAATCAATCTGTCAGAATAAAACTGGACACTGTTTTTATGCTTGCGTTTTTGTTTACATCTTGGGAACTGTGCTGTTTAAAGCACCCTGCTATAAAAACAGAACTTGCTCACCCTTTAACTTTCTTATCTTTCACCTGTCTCCCGTAGGCAGGCAGACAGAATTCCTTTCCCCTCTCTTTTTATAACTAAATTTCCTTTTTTTATTTTGGTACCTAAAAAAAAAAAAAAAGTGTGTGCATTCTGTCAGAGCAGAAGGGAAGGGGGGGAAAGGTTTAAGAGAGAAGTCAGAATTGCATTCAGATATCCATCCTGAACAGAGAGTAAAATAATTTACTGCCAGGCACAGATGAGGCCTAGATCATTCTGAAAAAAGACTGACATGTATGCGAATACAATGCAGTAAGAATAACAACACTTCCATTTATATAACAAGTTACTACATGCTTCACAATACAAGGAGTAAATAGAAAACATGATAAATAAGAGTAATAAAATAGTGCTAGAGAATCTTTTTGCCCATTCTTTCCCTCACCCACCCTTCTTTCATCCAGTCCAGAGCAACATTTGCAAAGTAGTCTACTTACTTGGTAGTTCTCCTACAGGGAAAAGGCAAGGTTACCATAGTATTGTCAATTGACACCTGCTTACTAAGATTGATCAATTATTTTTGATGTGTCTACTTATTTCTCAGTCTAAAAAAGAAATAAAACAAAGCCAAAAATACTATACATCTCTCACCAAAGAATTAATGGTCCCAAGCTACCCCAGGTAGATTATTTCTCTTACAGTAATGTTTCTGATGCTTGCTAATGCAAGCCTCTCAGTCCCAGAAGAGCAAAAATAACCATACATTGTTTGTATCAAGAAAAATAAAAACACTTGAAAATAAAAGGGTCTTAAGCCTACCCTTAAAAATCTGTTTCCTCAAATAATCTAGTGACAGAAAACAGGCTTTACACATGTCCAATATAGGTCATTAGAAGTTCAATTTTAATCTTGCATAATAGAGATGCACCCAGGCATTTGAAACTGCTGAAACTTTGAAACAATGTAAATGTTTAGAATAATACACAAGGTTCTATTACCATTTGTACAGATCATATCTACAGCCCATAAATTAATTGTTAATGCAGTTATAATAGCCAAACACACTGTTCAATCTTTATGTCATTCTGAAACACTCTCCGTAATAATTCTTACTGACAGAAGCAACTGCTGCAAAAGTGATATACATCCAACATAACTTGTCAAATTAAAGTACCACTGCTGCAAAAGTCCAGCCATGGCTACTTGCGTATAAAGCAGATACGCTTCACAGACAAATGGAAACAATATGCAAATGTTCCACGATAATAAATCAAACCATCAATCGCCACAGAAGTCAGAAAGGTCTTCAGTCACCTGGCCCTAAGGCAGACTAACACTCATTTTCCAACTCTTCAGTTGGCAATACATAGACTTGACTCATCACCCATTCAACACCCATCTGAATTTTCAGGATTCAAAATACAACCACTCCAAGCAGCTGCTTGCATTGTAACACACATTAACATATTTCATGCCATCCCCAACTCAGAGGATTTGAAAAAGCTTTAAATCTTAGAATGCTTATTTTCATTGCAGAGTATATTTTGCTTCTAAGAATAAAGATTAAAGATGAGCTATCAAAGATACCACTATGAAAGTGTCCTCAGTAAAAAAATAGGTCTCCAAAATAATAGAAACAGCTTACCTCCATGATAAAAATCGTAATGCAAGCATCACTGTGATTTCTAAAGCTAAGCATGAAAGAATATAGAGTAGTTAATGAGAAATCTATTTCGATTTCACCAAAACTCCTAACAGCACAGCTAGCCACTGTGTTAGCTTAGCTCAGAAGAGGTGCCCTTTCAACATTCAGGCAGAACTTCCTCTAGGTGGGGATGGATAATAACTTTCTACCAGAAGTGAAAACATAACCACTGTGCCTCCTCACTCAACGAATACAACCAATGTAAAGAAACATAAGTGTTTTAATGGATAATCAAGGAAATACCTGTAAGGACTGGATAAAGGCTCCAGCAACCATTCAGAGAATATACTAATTCACAACAAGCTTTGAAATTTAGGAAAAGAAAATTTGCTTCAGCCCTTGCACCATTAGGGTCTGTTGTGAGTGGCATCAAGGCAAAGGATACAAGTAATCTCTTTAAAGCAAGGAAATAATAGCTCTGCAAGCCTGTCTCCTGCAGATCGTCGCACACAAAGAAGATTCACCTGGGCCTCCTCTCCTCACTCTCAATCCCTACGCAATTAGCCCATTGTTCCACAGCACAGAGCAGGACAAACCCCAAATCCTCAATACACACAGGCAACAATTGACGAACTTTAAAATCTTATTACCAAGTTCATATAAGGCATATATAATACATCTTATCTGCATAATACCTTTATAACTCAGTTATAATCTCACTGGTGCATTAATCCACCAGATATTATCAGTGAATTATTTCTTCCTCTGTAGCATGCACATTACTTCAGCCAACATGTCTGACTCAGAGCTACTTAACTTCCCAAGCTAACAAGTTACTGGCTTTACTTTTTGTTTATTTAGGGATGAGTGACCTCAGATTAAATGTTTAAAAGAGATGTAAATTATATAGCTTAATTTTAGTACTCCAAAGAGAAAACTGCACTTAAACACAATTTAAAATAGACAATTATTGATACTTTTACCTATTAAAGTACTTTCCAAAGATAGAATTTGAATTCTGTAAGACACAGCCTCAACAATATATTGTTATTAGCTAGGTATTAGAACACTTTCCAGCTGTATATGTCAATATACTTAATAAATAGAGTTCCAGCTTTTAAGCAGTGTTTTACAAGGGAATTAAATGAGATGTCCTGTCCAAGGTTATATCGCAAAATAACAGCAAACAGTATTCTTCACAGGCAGTCTTTATACTGATACCAAAGGGGGCGGGGGCGAAGTGACAGCCCTATAAATTAAGTCTTCTTTTCCATTACATATAGAAAAGCAAGTGTCAGGGCGCGCTTCCTTCTCACTGATCAACGACTTGGTATCACATCCACTTTTAAGAATGAGAAGGTAGTTCTAGCTTCACTGACCACTCACTTTTTGCAAAGATGTTATTGTTTTACATTTACCACTCTCTGCTCCTACAAACCTTGTCATGAGTGATGTACATTTCACTAAGTTATACTTATGTTATCCTGAATATGCCTGACTAATGCCCACTTAGCTAAGATACTTGACAGAAAGGGAGGAAGACTGGAACAAGCAAAACACTTTCACTCTCCAGAAGGAAAAAAAGTCATTCAAATCCACTAGTAATTTTTGCTCCCTGGGCAGCTCCATGAAGTGCACATGTCATTTCCATGACACTTCCAGAAGGGACAGCAGCGACACAGCTTTAGGCCGATTTCTCCTTGTCTCTCAGTTCCCATCAAGTGGAGCAGCCTATTTTCAGCGGTAAGTCAGCAGGTACAATTTTCCATCAGAGGACTGCGTCCTGTGTTCTTAGAGGGTGGGACCATGAGGTGGATGAGCCTATTTCATCCTTAACTTCTGTCACATACTTCCACCACACATGAACAAAATCATAGCAGACACATGCCAAAAAAAAAAAAAACAAAACCAAAACCAGGCAAGTGAAAACAACAGGAAAAGGGTGTAGGGAGGAGAAAAGGGGAATTTTAATAAGCAGAGACTTACTTGAACCTGCCCTGGCAATGTTGACACTGGTCTCCCACCCAGCCCTGGTCGCAGACACAGGTGGAGTTGACACAATGACCCGAGAAGCAAGAGATTTTGTCGCAGGACTTGGACTGGGACACCTGGGCATAGAGGGCCAGGTACAAGAAGCCGTAGAAGAGCACCCAGCTGTTCACATCCAGGAGCGAGGAGAAGCAGCAGCAGCAGGAGGAGGGGAAAGGTCTCCAGACGCCCAGGGGCGCGGGAGCAGCTCCCGCTCTCCTCGCAGCGTTGCCCAGCACCATCTTCGCCGCGGGGGCCATGGGCCGAGGCGCGGCCGGCGGCGGGCAGCGATGGCAGCGCCGCCCGCGCACCCCGGGCAGGGGGAGCTTCCCCTGAGAAGAAATAATCCAGCCAGGGAGATTCAAACCCCCCGCTTCCTTCTCGCCTTCCTCTCCTCCCTCCCGACCCCAGCGCTGCCTCCTCCGGCCCCTTCAGCCCTCCGCGCCCCGTCACTCCCGAGGGGAAGCCCGGCAGCGGCAGGTCTCAGCCATCCGCCCCTTCTCTTCGTCGTCCTCCTCAGGGCTCATCGCTCCCGTCTTCTTCCATGGAGGAGGAGGAGGAGAGCTGCCTCTTGACCTTGTGTTTTCTCCTCGCCAGATATGCCCCCCACCGGCGCGCGCACACACACACACACCACCCTCGATCATGTAGCCCCCTGACTCCCCCTCC